TACCCTGAGTAACATAGGCTATCCTATTTATTGCTAGAAAAGATTAGGGGTAGGGAAACTTTAGTAACGTAACTCAAGGTGTAAAAAAACACTATAAAATATCTTTCGTCGCGTGCGCTGCGGAAACTATTGGTGATAGAACAAAAGTATGTTCTACAATATTGAAGAAAATATCAATAAATACAAAAAACTTCGCGATATTATATGTCCAACTATTATCGTTATGTCACAATAACCACTGTTTAAAATGTTGTAAAAATGTCCACCCGTGCGAAGCCGGGACGGGCCGCTAGTTAATAAATAAAGCTGGCAAAGACATCACGTTGTTCTCATTCTGTTCGCAGGGCCCCCAATTTCGTAGCTGTTAATACGTTATTAATATAAAAGTTACATAGTCTATGGTAATTCTTACGCTTTCTATTGCGCTTAGTAATTAGCAAATTTAACGTACCAATGTACGTACTGTACCGTACATTAATTATGTACATACAGATCGGAATGCTCTCAAAATGGCCGCTCACATAACGTGTCTTAAAAAAATACGGTGACCTTAATTTAACCTTATCCGAAAATGGTTGATGCCATATCTTGCACATATATAGATTGTACACAATCTCGATGTCATTTCTAATAATTTTATTTATTATATTGAAATTTATTTTGAATAAATATTAAGTGCACTATTTAAAAAAGAATAAAATATATTTTAGAGTATTGTTAGAAGAGGTTGTCACACTGTGGTTCAACTTATAAAATACTTCGAACACATTTAGTAATATTATTAATAAGACTTTAAAAAGAAATTATCTATCTAAAATTTTTTCAACCTATTTTTTTTGGTATATTTGTTTTTTTTTTTTTTAAAACACAATATGTATAAAGAAAATGTATGTGAAACTGTTATATTGTCACAAAAAAATATCAAATGGATACTCCATTTAAATTTTAGCAATTATACTGCGTCGATTCAGCTTACTGAGTTGGTTATCGTCGATTTAAAGAATGGTAAAAAAATCATTTTCATTTAAGAGTTTCCTCTTGTCGGTGCAACTAATTCATGCATCTTCCTCCAGCCAGCTCTATCCCAGGCTCTATCCTCTATCCTTGATCTCCCTATACGACATGACGCCTAGTGTTTCCTTTATCTGTCCCATGTAGTTTATCCTTGGTCTTCCTCTTCCTCTTTTGGTAAAAAATTAAACAAATAAAAATCAGGATCCCAAAGAACATTAGGTAATTAATGCTCCTTTCCACTCAGGGTTTGCTGGAAGAGAACTCTTACAGAGTTAACCTCGCTTGTTTTACATCTTTATTAAAAATAAATTATAACAATGTAATTTTTGCATACAATAAGTTACAAATAAATAAACATTATTCTATTTCCTTTAGCAGTCAGGTAAATATAATGTCATTTTTTTAAATACAAACATCTATGCATACCTAATTTCCTATTAATACAACCATACAAGTAAAGCATCATTTTGGAGAGCCTTGTATAACGACCCGGCCTGTTGCTCCCCCAACCAAGTAGTATAAAAAGATATTATTTATTCCAGAAAAAAATTACCATTTCTTCTTCTTCTTTCTTTATTATGTACAATATGATAGCAAGCAGGCTGCACTGTGTGTACGTTAATCACTGCTGCGCAATTTCCAATGGAATTGTACAGCGGTGATTATCTGTATACTATTTAATATATTTATGTGTGTATGTGTATATGTGTGTGTGTGTATGTGTAAATTTACTTACATTAGTTTTAAGAATATTGTTACTAATAAATATTTAATGCACCAAAAAAGTTCGAAATAAAAATTATTATTATTATTATTCCAGATTATTTGGGGTCTGCTTTCCTAGTAGCCCTGCGCCATATCATATAGTTATGGATTGTCTGTTCTTTTTTTTATACAACTTAGAATGACAAACAAGCTGACGGCCCACCTGATGGAAAGTGGTAACCGTCGCCTATAGACATGAGCAGTACCATGGACATAACAGAGTATACTGTTTCGCCCATGCGTTGCCATTTCTGAGGACTCGGGTGTTATTCCTCTGTACCCTGTAAATTCACGCCGTATCTCACCCTTCAAACCGAAACACAGTCATGCAAACACAACTGCTTCACGGTAAAAACACGAATGGGACAGAGGTACACAAGCAATCGACTTTTGTACAAAGTCTCCCTCTGGTTGCTCTGTCTCGTTTGACCGATTAATAAAAAAAAAAAAGAAAAAATTAAACAAATTAATTAATAAAAGGTGAACAATATTATCCTTCATTCTTTCAACAGCCAGATAAATATAGACTCATTTCCATTTATGTAAACCCTGAACTATAACATTCGAAGGCTAGTGGAAAAGTTTTAGTACAATCACTCGAATATGCAGAGGTCCTTCCTCGTGTCCGTTTATTCAAGTTGTTATTTTGCAACATTTAATGTGTCTATTACTAAATTTTTGTCTATAAATAATTTTTAATGTATAACTAGTTTTTGCTCACGACTTTGCAAGCGTGGATTTAAGTAGTATGTTATAAAGTATACACCAGACTTTCAATTCGACTTTCAGGAGCTCATCTTATGGAAAGCTATAACCATCGCTAATAAATAGGAAATTAATAGCATCATAAGAGTGCATAGTGACATGTTACATACCGTGATAAAAAAAGGTCTATTGTTAAAAAAAATTAAAAAAAAAATATTCTACTTGTAATATATAAGTCTTTTGGCCACAACAGAATATCAGCGTTTTACTCGTTTTAGGGCAATGCAATAAGCTGAGTTGTGACCATTTTGTGTTACTGTGGCACACGCATGAAGGGAAAAAATTGTTATTAATTTTATGCATTTTGTTTCAATTTTTTTAGTTTTTTTTTTATGTATTTTTTTATTTTTTTTTCACTGTGCATTTATGTCTGTTGTTGTTTGTGTGCTGTAGGTAATGCAAAGAAATTATCTATCTATCTTTATTGGGTATTACCAGAACAAGATATGTGGGTATGCCACAGTGTGATTCATTCCTTGAATAAATGCCACAAGTTATAAGATGTTGTCATCCATTGCTAATCCCTTCTTCCATAGAATTTTCTAGTAGCCGTATTAGACTACATAGTTCACTACAGAGGTGGTAAACAAGCATTCTACCCACTTGATGATAAGCAGTTACCGTAGTCTATGAATGCCTGCAATACCAGAGGTATTACGCGTGTATTAACTATGATCCCAAGATCACTGACAATTCGCTCGTCGTTGGACTGAGTCGAAGAGTTCAAGCTGATATCTAGTTGCTCTCGCCTATAAGTGACAGCAATGCTCCAATCATCTGGACGAGTGGCGGTCTTCTACCGTGCGTTTTTCAAGGCACTTTCTTCCACGCACAACTATTCTTTGGAATCAACTTCCAGCAGCAGTATTTCCGAACTGATACGACAACATAACCTTCAAGAAAAGAGTATATTCCTTTTTAAAAGGCCGGCAGCACACCTGCAATGCCGCTGGTGTTGTGGGTGATCATAGGCGGCGGTAGTCACTTACCATCAGGTGAGCCGCATGCTCGTTTGCCCCCTGTGTTGTAAAAAAAATATGGGACCGGATATGCGATTTATAATAGAGCAATAGTCGTTGATCCGGCGTAAGGTCTATTAAACATATCGAGTTTTTGGGATGTCAACCTCATCTTATTTTCAAGATGACCACAGAATTGTACGTTATTAGAGATATCGTCACCAAGAATCTCAATGGTCTTACGAGTAGGGATGTTAAGAGACGTGCCTTGGAATTGTGGAGCTAGCAAATAGGATCTTTTAGCAGTGAATGCGCAAATTCGTGTTCTAGCGGAGTTACATACTTCTGTTTTTTTTTTTTTTCATATATTTATCAAATATTTCTTTTTTTTTATATTTATTGTGTACCTATAATTTATGGGAACAAGTGACAGTAGTTTCAATGCAGACAAAGCCATTGAAAACAGCCAGTTACAGACAAAACGTGTTCAAAGTTTATTTATTAAGGGCGATAATACCTCTAACGTAACGCAGTATGTCTGAGTATGAAATACCTCTATAAAAATAGGTATAGACCACTTGATTATTGCTCAAGTTGAACGCTAGGTATGCAGTGGAGTCGCTTTAAGTCAATTAATAGCTTAGTTCGCCTTAAACTGTCAATGTATTCAGTACAGGTACAACACAAGATTCCGTTAAGTGTAACACTTATGTCATATTACGCCGCTCCTTTCCTACTGTAAATAAACATTTTTAATTGATTCCATAATACTTTGTTTTTTTTTAGATTTTGGTGTACAACTTGTGAGGTCGTCTTCGCTAATAGATATTAGGGTTTTTTTTAATGGGTGATAATGGAATGGTAACCCCGCTTGCGCTATCGGTATACGCTGGCGGGGCACCGGAAACTGCGTGGGGTCGACCTGATAGGGTGTATTGCTAGCAATGGGTCAGTTAGACTCCATTACTAAAATTCCTTTTCCCCCCTAGATACTAAGGTTAGGGCTTGTAATTATTAGATAGGATGGAGATATTACTATGTACTACTACTGCCCACTCACTACTTCCTATGCCACTGTGCTAGGTTGACTGGAAGTAATCTCGTTTGGAGTTCGCCTATATTCATTATATCTATTTCTTTATAAAATTCTTCACGGCGCGAAGTAAAGTCCTAATTTTTTTCTAATTCGTAATAATAATTTCTAATAAGTACATAAAAGAAATAGTAGAGTGTATTAAGATTTAAGACAAAGGGTCAGATTAATCCTAGTGTCATCCCAACAACAGCCCTAAGTACACACAATGTAGAAATGAACAAATTTCTGTTGTAATAAAGATGTCGTGAAAGGCCTTCATTGTAAAATTTACAGGTAAATATTGCTAACTAACGTGGACTAGATTTGCTTTATTGGGGCTACCTTCACAGGGTTTGTCCGCTAAAGCCAAAGGTCCCCGGGCGCGTAGGTGCTTACTTTTCTATTGTGCAATATGGCGAACGTAGAGCGCCGGTGCGCATGCGTTAACATTTTCCCGCCAAACGCCGAACGTGCCGAGTCGCTTCCAAAAATTAAATTAAAAAACAGTTTTATGTCTAATTAGTGCGATATTTATTTTATATTTAAATTTAAAAATTTAAAATATAATTGGAATTATGTTAGATTATAGAATTATGAAAATTAAAATATGTTAATATAATTTAAACTGATGAACTCGGATTTATGACGTCAATAATAGTGTTAATATTTAAAATTATTTAATAATTAAATATAAAATAGGCGTGTGTAAATATGCTGTCTGTGGTTAGCGTCGTGATGTAGTCACGATGTGGTTGGCTGTAGGACACCTGCTGCTATTGTGTGAAGCTTATGCGGCTTTTGCTTACAACATCAGCTCGAATGGACACAGCGATCTGGTGAGTACATTATCTATATATTATAAAAATCAATTGTTATTCCTTAGTCTCGATAAAACTCAAAACCGAGTAGTATGTTTTTTTTTTGTTGTGTTCGTAATAATACAGGGGTGGTTTAAAAAAAGTTGGAAAGCTGTAAAGTATCATGTAAGGAACTAGATATTGTAAGCCTATGTAAAATCATTGTGAACTTATGGTTCATATGCAAAAAATAAATAAAGTTAAGCTGAAAAATCGAAAAATTAAAAATAGATGATTTTGTATGGTAATTACTCTCTACTCTTTTTGATGAAATGAATAAGTACTGAAACGATTTATCAAGCTAGATACTATTTCCTATTCATATGAAGGATGGGATATGATGGTGGACTGGTAGAGAACACTATTCGGTGATAAGTCCGCGAAATGTATACACATTTACACTGTGCATTAAATATTTAAATAGATAAATAAATCATCATCATCTTGCTACCCTTATTCCAATTAATATTTGGGGTCGGCATAATATGGATAAAATCCATATTACAAAAAGATTTGGTTTTTAGTTTTACGATCGGCCTGCCTGACGTCAACCCTCTTTGGGAATAAATACATAAATAAATATGACATTCATAATTGCGGCTGTTATTATGTGCGTCACAGTTTATTTTGAGATGTGCACGGCATTGTAACGATCGTCACTTTTTAAAAGTTACTAGATCAGTTGTCATTATTTTACTTTTTACTCATCATCATCATCATCATGTCATCCATATTCCTTCACTGATGAATATTTGCCTTCCCTATAGATTATAATAAACTTCCAGATGACGTTTTACATTTACATGAAAGAAAATTTAAAATATATATAAAAATGACTCTCTGTACAAAAGCATATTATAAAATAAATGACTATCTAAATGACAAAACTACATGGATTTGAATATTGTATTAATGTGAATTGTATTGTAAATGTAATTATTTTAAAATTATTATTATTTTATAAAGTAATTATTATAATTATAAATTGACGAATCATAACAATCTGAAAACAGATGTATATTAATAAAGATGATTGATTGATTGCTATAAAGAACAGTCCTGAGCCACCTGCATCCATTGACTCACTGCAATGACTTTTTACGAATACAGTTAAATTACAAGTAGACGATGTATATACATGAGAGGTATTTAAAAAAATGATATATAAAAATGCAATAGATACTAAAACAATAATTTAAAAAATATTTGTCTGTCTGTCTAATTTTGTTCTGGTATCACCAAAAAACTACTGCACCAAATAGGACACGATTTTCAATGATGTATTTCTGAAAAAAGGTTAACTTAAAATCTGATGTATGTTTTATCTAATAAGGCCATCTAGAATATGTTTACCTACCTACTTCCATAACAATATACATATATGGTATTTCCAAAACACCCGCGCACGAAGTTTATTATCATTAGTGTTTAAAGATGACTTAAGTCGCGTAGGTACTCTCAAAAACAGCTTTGCCATGTCCGATATTTTTTATAAATAAAAATTATTGTTTTTACAAAATTTTGGGGAAATATTATTTTTGGAGAAAAGTAAAATGGGCTTGGAGCAATTTGGCTATTTTTTTGAATAGTTTTGGTACTTGTAAATTGATACTTGTATAGAAGTATATAAATACAATAAAATATAAAAGATTGAAGGTAGCAAAACAGAGAGACACGTTAAAAGTGGAAAAGAATTGTGTCTTTTCTTCGTTCATTTTGTGATATATTGAAAAAATATAGTGATAAATAATACAAATTTGTGTTTAGGTAAAAGTCCTAGAAAAATATTTAACACTCGGGTTCAAATCAAAATTCGTATGTGGAAACCCTGCTCACCCTTTGTACATTATATTTATTATTTAATAATTTGTAATAGCTTCTTCCCTCGCATATTGTGGTGGGCACCGGACAATTCTGGAGTGGGCAGAGCCCAACCACCGGGGGGAAAGGGATTGTTAGTAATGCGGATTATTAGTCCCATTGCTAACAATATACCCTAATAGGTCAACCTCCCCGTGGTCCCCCCTAGAAACCATCGTGCTGAATTCCAAGTGTATTCACCACAATGAGCTAACTGACCTGCCTTTTCATCTTCACTTATTATCCCTCACTGGGGCTCTGCCAGTGTATACCGTTAGTGCAGGCGGGGTTACCATTTCATTATCATACATTAAAAAAAATCTCAACTACCTCGCCCTTAAATACGTCTATATTTCTTATGCTATTTCCAAATTCTACGCGTACGGAATTGCGGGCAAAGTTATAACCATATAACTATATCTCGTTACTTCGTAACGTTATTATAACTGAAGATGCTACTTGTGTAACAATTAATAAGCACGCATCGTTATGTCCGATTAAACATTGTTATACACATATATCTAGTTAGTAATTAAAATTTAATCGTTTGTTACCGCATCATATATTTCAAGCTCTCATATATAGGAAGGTCAGGACAAAGTGCCATTTGCAAGGTGAATCGCATGCGATTAAATTAATTCATCAACTTTGCTCGATAATTTGTTCGTGTGAATTGTAGAAATAGGAATCGTAGTGATAAGTTATGCTATTTTTTCACGTAACAAGGAAAACTAATGCAGTAGATTATGTCTAGACGGTAATCAATATAAAATATACACCGGATTTCAACTTAAACCTTCGGTAACACAAATATGAAAACTGCATGAAATTTTGTGCATACTAGAAGAAACATATTGGCAGACATATATTCTAAAAATAGATGTACATTTTAATGTTATATACTTAGGAAATAATAGATATGTATTATAATAATTAAAATAAAAATAAATAATCATTAAATTAATTCACTCTGTAAACAAAACAAACAAAAAAATATATTCTAGAAAGTGTAAATTAAAATCTATTTTATTCAAATAGACTTGTTTACAAACACTTTTAAATCGTCAATTTTTTATGAATACAGGGTTCGGAAAGATGTTATCTGTTGAGAAGAGCCCGCGAGAAACTCAATAGTTATTCTTTTAAATCTCTATTAACATTATTATTATAACAATGGCTGGCTGTATGCTCGTTTACCACCTTTGTGGCGTAAAAAAAAAAAAAACAAAAGTAACCTATGGATATCACTAAGAAGGGAAGAGGAAGGAGAAGATTATTAATAGTAATTGACAGCCCCATTGCTAGCAATATTATTAGTCTATCAAATCTATTCACCAGAGGGAGACTTTGTATAAAATCAATCATCAAGAGGTGCCCAAGCAATCGACGCTTGGGCACCTCTGTCCCATTTGTTTCTACCGTTAAGCAGTTGTGTTTGCATGGCTGTGTTTCGGTTTGAAGGGTGGGATATGGCTTGAATTTACAGGGTACAGAGGAATAACCTGAGTCCTCAGGAATGGCAGCGCATTAAAGGAATTATAGGCGAAAAAGTATACTCTGTTATGTCTATGGTACTGCTCATGACTATAGGCGACGGTTCCCACTTTCCATCAGTTGGACCGTCAGCTTGTTTGTCATTGTAAGTTACATAAAAAAAATTCATAAATTCATGAACGTAAATGTGACCTTCGTCGCTGACAGAGTAACCATCAATGAATTTAAGAATTATATTAACATAATCGATTAGGTAGTTAACCTACTTCAAGTTATTTATTGCAAATTTTTTTGTACGCATAAATAACGCGATTTTCATCATCATCAACATCATCATCATCATCATCATCATCATCATTTCAGTCATTATCCGTCAACGCAATTTGAACTATCTACACTAATATTATAAAGAGGAAAGATTTGTATTTTTGTGTGTATGTATGTTTGTAATGAATAAACTCAAAAACTATTTTGCCGATTTCAAAAATTCTTTCACCATTAGAAAGCTACATTCACCCTGAGTAACAATGGCTATATTTATTGCTAGAAAAGATTAGGAATCCTTACTAAAACTTTAGTAACGTAACTCAAGGTGTAAAAAAAATGCTATAAAATATCTTTCGTCGCGTGCGCTGCGGAAACTATTGGTGATAGAACAAAAGTATGTTCTACAATGTTGAAGATAATATCAATAACCACAAAAAACTTCGCGATACTATATATCCAACTATTATCGTTATGTCACAATAATCACTTTTTAAAATGTTGTAAAAATGTTCAACTGTACGAATCCTGGACGGGACGCTAGTTAAATATAATTTAAGATTGTGTTTAACTAAAAAAAAACGACTTTAATACTGACAAAATCAGTTATTTTAATTAAAAAAAAAAATTATTGAACCGTTTATGATAAAAATTTTTTGGAACCAATTTTACAGTAAGCTAGTCCTAATTCAAATGTGATGTAAATATGTCATATTATTTGTCGAAAATAGAGGTTTTTTTTATATAACTTAGAATGGCAAACAAGCTGTTGGCCCACCTGATAGAAAGTGGTAACCGTCGCCTATAGACATGAGCAGTACCATGGACATAACAGAGTATACTGTTTCTACCATGATATCCCCCAAGCGTTGCCATTCCTAAGGACTCAGGTGTTGTTCCTCTGTACCCAGTAAATTCACGCCTTACTAGTCTCTAATTAGATTATGATAGATAAATAGATAGATTGATAATTTATTTACATTACTTACAGCACACAAATTACAATAAAAAAAAAAAAAACATGCACATAATACACAGTAAAAGAGATAAAAGAATGAAAATAAAAAAGCACCACAAAAAAAAAGCAAAATATATACACCAACGATTTCCTTTCTTTCCTTTCCTTCATGCGTGTGCCATAGTAACACAAAATGGTCACAACTCAGTTTATTGCTTCGCCCTTAAAAGAGCAAAATACTGATATTCTGTTGTGGCCAAGAGATCCTGTGGCCAAAAAATGGTCACAACTCAGATTAAGTGGAAGTATATCAGGATGTCTTATAGGTATGAACAATGTAGCAACTTCTAGTCAAGGACACTCATCCGAAAGTACAGCCTTACTCAAGACATAAGAGAATGTG